TAATTAGACTAGTGGAACGGCCGCACCACCAGCCTGGGGGGGTAGCCTCCCACTACATGGAGGCAGGTCGACGGCTCGGTACGCAAGCGGATGGTTGTCGCACTATGTAAATATACTTCTCGTCGTTTCTGTTCTGCTGTCATGGTTACGCCCCCCACCACTTGAAGGCTGTAGCGTAGTCAATGGCTTTTGTGTCACAACAACAGTGGTGTATGACTTGCGTACGAATGCGGTTCAAGCTTTCCTGGCGTACGCCAAAGCATTAGAGTTTCAGTGTTAGTGAAAGGGCACCCCCCTCCTTCTTGTTGCCTGCCTCCTGCACACACGATCTTGTGTTGGTCAGTTTATTTCGTTATTTCTTGCCCTTGCTTCTCATTGACTTGTGAAAATTCACGTCCTGCTGACTTGATAGGATCCACAACGAGTAGTGCTCCATGTTCTTGTGAAGCTTGTTCCAACGATCAATAGTCAGCGTTTTTGCTGTGGGGGCGCGGAATATGTACGTATGATAGGGAGGCCTAAGCTAAATGTCTTGCAAGTGGACAACTGCCATAACGGTGCATTCTCTCTGCAAGCTGTTTTTTTTTTTTTTTCTTCCATCATTGGACTCTGTCGTCTGCCCCTCTGGCCCCTATCCTCCACTTCTACCAGCTAGACGACCCAACCGGGGTCACATAGGAGGGGGGAGTTGGACCCCCTCCTGCGGTATGTATGCATATGTATGCATGCGCACATGCGTACAACGAGCAACTAAGCGCCCAGGCCGCCCCTGATGGTGTCTGTGGGGTACGCATAGAATCACTTGGAAGACGAAGCTAACCTACATGTTCTGGTATCCCGCTGTATGCGAAAATGTTAATGTTTGGATAGATTTGTTGCTTTATTTCGTTACTTCCAACCACCAGCTTTGGGACCCCTCTGATTGGCTGCGACCTGCTGCGTTTTAAATCGAAATACATAATGTTGTGACATTTCGACGCTTGAGCGCAACTGTCGGATGCTCGGGTTTGGGTACACAAAATGATCTCGAGATGAGACGTCCCGTGCTTGACACCCGTTCAACGTGCGTGTAACCACAGCAGCCGCAGCTCCTCTCCATCGTTGCGTCAAGTTGGACAAGGGTTACGGGGAATCTGAGTCGCTCTCCTTCTGCTGTGCGTGGGGGCGATTTATGCACAGCATAGAGCGAAACCAAGATTTGACTCAACCCGCCTTCGGAAAATTCGCAAAACAACCACCCTAGCCCGTCAGGCAAAGCAATGGCCGTGTAGACTTGCCGATGCCATGCCTGCTTCAACGGGTGGCGTGGGAGAGCTAGGCGGACTGGAGGCCCCACTGCTGTGACATCTTTCCATGAGATCTTCATCTTACCATGCGGGTCTTTGTCTTACCCATGAGATCGTTATTGTACCGTGAGATCTTTGTCTACCTTGAGATAATTGTAGATATTTATCTGGTATATTGATCCTAGGCAGAGGTTTCTCTTACCTGGAGATGCTGCACGGCCCGTGACACGCTACGCTACGCTTTGCGCGTGGCATGTCCGGACCCGTTTCGTGGTGATTAAGGTGTACCCTCCGGATAGCCTGGATGGCGGTGACCGCCAGAGGATTCGGATGCTGGCAATGCCCGACTGCAACACCACGCAGATAGGGGATTGCTTCTACTGCTTCAGGTGGGCAAAGGGGCAGAAAGCGTGTCGCGTCTCTCTCTCTCTCTCTCGCTCTCTCTCTCCCTCTCTCCCCCTCTCTCTCTCTCCCTCTCTCCCTCTCTCCCTCTCTCTCTCTCTCTCTCTCTCTCTCCTCTCT